CTCTTTCCTGTGACTGGCAAAGTAAATTATGCAAAACGAGGGATTGTGCAGACATTCACTACGCCAGTCTGGTCTGGTGGTTAGGAGCGCGGACTGTAATCTGGGAGAACCGGGGTTGATTCCCCCCTCCTCCACATGCACCTGGCTGGGGTGACCTTGGGTCAGTCACAAGTTCTCTCGGAGCTGTTCTCTCAAGGGCAGTTCTCTCAGAGCTCTCTCAGCCCCACCTCCCTCACAGGTTGTCTGTTGTGGGGAGGGGAAGGGAAAGGAGTTTGTAAGCCGCTCTGCGACTCCTTTGGGTTGTGAAGGGCGGGGTATAAATCCCATCTCCTCCTCCTCCACCCTCATAGAGAGGGAGCAAGATCTGCTGGCTCATTGCAGAATGTGGGTTACCCTGGTCTGCATTTTAACTGTACCCCCCTCAGGACAGAATGCTGCTAACATTGCCTGTTGCTTGTGTCGTGCTGAAGCCATGTTTTTACAGGTGGCCGATTTCAGGGAACAGCTGCTCACCTCTGTGGGCGTCGACGCTGGCAGAATCGAGGAGTTTTCCTGTGGTGAGTCCTGGCGCGCTCTGTGCAGCCTTCCTGCCAAGTTGCTACGGTGCTGTGCAACGCAATGTCGTTGCCTGCTTTCCTACACAAGACTGCAGCCAAAAAAGGGGGATCCAAATGCCTTTCACCTCTGCCTGCACTTTGCATGGGGAATCCCAGCCAACGTTAGCTGGCAAAAGCTGCCCTATTGACATTCCAGTGAAAAGTGAGAGCAAAGGAATCATCTGTCTTTGTCACGAAAAAGCCAGGCTGGGAAATGCAACCGTGGCTGCAATCCTCTGCATATTTGCTGGGGGGGTAGTGCGCTTGCATTCAGCGGGGCTTAGGTTTCCATGTGGACGTGCAGTCGTAGGACATCCAGCACAATCTACACTTGGGGCAAATTCCCCCTCCTCCCTTCCAAAGCTGGGGAATCCAGGTCACACGTTTCCTTTTTGGAGAATATCAGAGGGTTAAGATGTTACAGAAATGTGATTCATTGCCAAATGTTCAAAACAAGCAATGATGTGGGTTTAGTAGGCTGGGTCAGTCGTGCTCATCCCAGAGCAGAGTGTGTGCAGGCGTCCACAGGGTCTCAGAGCTGCTGCTTCCATCGCTCAGGGCTGTGTCCAAATGCCCACACAAGTTAGGACTTCCAGGGGTGCCCACAAGCAACAAGGGGCCCTGGCCCTTCATTGCAATATCCTGTTCTCTGCTAGATCCTGGTGAGGAAAGTGATTCTTACGCATTGCGTGATGATCACCCACTGGAAGTCACTGTGCTTTTAGAGGCAGAGCTTGTTTCCTTCAGGAGTGGTGTGAGTGGGCTGTACGGATCCACGAGTGTCATGGCACCAGTCTTGGCGTTGCCTATAGGAAAGGGTGGCCCATCTACTAGGAAGCCCTGGGCAATTGCCTGGGGTGCCAGCAGCGGAGGTGTGTGGCATCAGGAAGGTGTGCCTCTGGCCCCAGGGGATGGCCAGCTGTGGGGAGGCCGCTCTCTCCCTCCCTCTGCTGGGTGGGTCAGGGCAGGGTGAGCCCCGCCCTCCCCTGTCCTCACCGCAGGGGGTGGAAAGAGCGTGTGCTGCCCTCCAGGAAGAGTGTGATAGGGGGATGTCTTCCCACGGCTGGCCCTGCTTCTCGGCAGCCCTAAAGGGGAAGGCTAGCTCAGCGTCCCTGCCTCTAACTCCTCCTGCCTGTTGCCTCACCAGGTCACGTGATCCCCCCAGACAACATTTTACCCATCGTCCTCTGCAGCGGCCCATCCGGTCAACAGTTGGAGTTCACCTATGAGAAGAGGACCCTGCCTCAGATGGTCAGTGTGTTTTTCCTCCTCCTGTTGCCTTAGGCGGTTTGGCAGTGGGTTGGTGTCAACAGGCCCATGGGAGAAATATTCCACTGGCTGAGTGCTAATCCCTTATGCGAAAGGCCAGATATCTCTTTGGATTCCAGCCATAGACAGGCACGCTCTTCCTTTCAGAGAATTTTAAATGTCCCCCTTTGCTCTGTGCTGTATCTGGACGCTTCTGAGCCCGACAGTCCTCCTCCGTCTATTTGCTTGCAAAGGCCACAGGCATTTGGGTTCTGGATCCTGTTTGCCAGGAAGAGGCGGGGGCTGACGTGGGTGTCCGTCTTCCCCCATGTTCACAATGCAGCATCTGACATGAGAGATCTCCCGGTAGGACCCACTCTAGATAGGTGTAGTCTTTCCTTCGCCATGCAAAGGGAATGTACCGGTCAGGTGAGCACACAGACCAGGCCTGTGCTACTACGCTATGGGTGCGGATGTGCGTGTGCTGCATTTGAGCCAAGCGTAAGAGGATTTGCTTGAGGGAACTCTTGTGAATGCAGCAGCCGGCCAACTCGAGAAAGGAAGGTTGTGGTTTGTTTGTTCGTTTGTTTCAATTATCCTGGCCCTTCAGTCTCAGAAAACAAGACAAACCACTCAGGAAGCAGCTTGTGTGTGTAGAATGCTGTCCACCCCACAGGGCTTGCAAGGCAAGTGGTTCGGCAGAGGCCGTTTGCCATGGCCTGCCTCTGCAAAGTCATCCTTGGTGGTCTCTCAGCCGAGTGCTGACCCTGCTTAGCTTCCCAGCTCTGATGAGACTGGGCTGCACTCTGCCATTCCACATCCCCCATGAAACAGCTCACAGGGGTTGAAGACCCAAATGATGCAAAGTGTCAAGGTTGCCGTGGAGAAGCCCCAGTCCTGGTCACCTCCATCCTTGCCTTTCAGAGTGGAGGGATCTCCAACTGAGGCATGTTTAGCAGGCACGTATCAGGAGACGTGGTCCATCAGGTTTTATTTGCTATTTATCTCATGTGCATTTATGAACTAAAAATCTGTCACAGAAACCCTTGCGATGGAGGATGCGGATACGTGTATAGCCAGCCGGGGGGTGGGGGGAACACAATGCCTGGTGGGTCACTCCTGCAGCTTGGTCACCTCTGACCTTTGAGTCCTTAGTCGCTCCTGCCCTGGTTGGACAGTCCCCTCCGTATAAGCCAGTTGCTGGAATGCAGAGGAAGAAGTTCAGCAAGATCCTGCAGCCTCCGTTCGGGCCTGGCGGCTCGTGGTGCCTGTCACTCCCAGGTCAGGCTTCGGCAACCAAGCGTGGCGCCCCAGAGACTGAAGCGGCCGCCTCTCTCTTTCAGATGGAGGAGACGGGGCGGATTCTCAGCAACCTCTGCAACGTCGTCCCAGGGGGAGTGGTGTGCTTCTTCCCCTCCTACGAGTACGAGAAGCAGGTGTACGTGCACTGGGAGAAGACCGGGCTGCTCACCCGCCTGGCTGCTAAGAAGAAGGTAATGGCACGGCCCGCTGGCCGCGGGGGCTTTAAACGGGGGCCGGCCATCCCAAGCTCCGGCTATTACCATCCACTGATGATGACGGGCCTCCCCCCTCTGCTTCTCGTCCTCTCTCCTTGAGCATTTCCCATTGCCCGCACGGTGAAGCAGAGAGGATGTTTATGTAGCCAATCCTCAGCCAATAATGAATAAAGGATACTTGCCGGGCGACTGACCGCCGTACTTAGATCTCAATTATATTAGACGGTGCCGCGCGGCTTCGGAAGCGCAGAGAGCGTGGCCTGTTTGCGTATGAGGCAGAGCGGAATGGTATGAGCCAGCCTGGAATCGGGAACCTTTTTAACTTTTTAGCAAATCAGACTCCAGTTTGGGACACCGGGGCAGGCTGCTTGTGCGAGCTCAGTGGAAGCGCACTAACTCATGCCAACTGGTAAAGCAAGTGGGGGTCAAATGAGGCCATCCAACAGAATCAATCCAATTTTGATTGGTAGAAGACAGAAACTCTTTTTAATATAAATGGACATTAGCAAGGGACGGGTCCTCATATGTCATTCCAGATTGCTTTTGGCTAGGGGTTTTGGAAAGTCCAGCATCTGGCCCATAGCGGTCCCTGCTGATTTACCCAGCAGCTGGGAGCAGATGTGGGTCCAGCAGCACAGAGGATTGACTGTCCAAAATCAGAGGGGGGAGGAGACACTGAGGGTGCCCTGGGGTGGGGTGGGAATTTCGCAGGGTTCTTCAAATTCTCTGCTTTTAAAGCGAAGCATCACAAGCAGCGCCGGGTCACTCAGATTTTCTGCAAGAAAAATTGAATGCTTGACACCTGCCTAAACCATGAATCAAAATGGAATCTGCACACGGATGGTTGCTTATGTAGCTTATTCTGCTGCTGTTCATCATGGGAAGGCAGTGTGATACCTCCTGCAAGGGCCGCCGATGTGACAGAGAGCGCCCCCCTATCTGTGTAACTCCACTCTAGGTTCTTTTCCCTGGTCGTACCAAATGATAAGGAAGAGAGGGAGCATCCAGGAACTGACCTGAATGAAATCCTTCCTCCCTGGGCTCACAGCCACTCTTTCAACCATCTGTGGAACCCTACCTGGATGGGAAGGTGACCTAGAAATATAAGGTAGCCTCCCAACAATTCTGTGAAGATGGTGGTTTTTGTCCCAGATGGCTGCATAGATATTTGAGCATTGGTTTCCAAGGACTTTTTTTAAAAAATGGGAAACTAAAATTTGAAGGATGTTGTATTCAGTCTCCGGTACCGAAGGGTCAAATCCCAGACTAAATTTTCCATCAGCAGAACAGAACCATCCTGCCTCCTCTCCTCCCACTGATCTCCGCAAAATCACCCTTCTGGAGTATATTGGAAATGCAATGGGGTGGAGGGGGGAGGCCGTAGTGGGAAGGTGGAGTTGATGGCGATTACCTGTTTAGTCTGGATCTGAACCAGTCCAGCTGTTTCTGCGACTGTGTAAAATCCAGAAATCTGCATTGAGTCTTCCATGTGTGCCCCAGAGAAGCTTTTCTCTGCTGCTGACATCAAGTGCATTGTGTCTTTTTCAGATATTTCAGGAACCCAAGAGAGCGAACCAGGTGGAGCAGGTGCTGGCAGAATATGCCAAGTGTATCAAGGTGAGAAGGGGGGGGGGCTGCTTAACAGAACCAACCCATACTTGGCTGCCTAAGAACATAAGAGAAGCCATGTTGGGTCAGGCCAGTGGCCCACCCAGTCCAACACTCTGTGTCACACAGTGGCCAAAACCCAGGGACCATCAGGAGGTCCACCAGCGGGGCCAGAACTCCAGAAGACCTCCCACTGTAGCCCCCCAAGCACCAAGGGCACAGAGCATCACTGCCCCAGTCATAGCATTCCATCTATACCTTGGTGGCCAATAGCCACTGATGGACCTCTGCTCCAGTCCCCTCTTGAAGCTCTCAGTGCCTAGATCCAAAGCTGCTGCTGCTTCTCCTCCAGCCTTTGCTAACCTACTGGGGGGGGGATTTTCTTCTGGCAGCGTTGCAGCCACGCAGGAACCACCATGACGGGAGCTTTGCTGTTTTCTGTGGTCGGTGGGAAAATGAGCGAAGGAATAAATTTTTCCGACGATTTGGGAAGGTAAAGGCCAGGCTCGGCTTTGAAAGGTCCGGAATCCCTTCCGTGTATCTTAGCAATTAGAAACACCAATATTCCTAGGTCATTCTAGTGTCGTTGCAAATCTCGGTCTAGTGGTGCGAGCTACAGAATATGTTATTTAGGTGTAGGATCCTGGTGGAGACCCAAAAAAGTAAAGGTAAAGGTTCCCTTGCTCGAAAGCCAGTCAAGTCCGAATCTAGGGTTGCCGTGCTCATCTCCGTTTCCAAGCCGAAGAGCCAGCGCTGTCCGAAGACGTTTCCGTGGTCATGTGGCCGGCATGACTAAACACCAAGGCGCATGGACCGCTGTTACCTTCCCACCGAAGTGGTACCTATTTATCTACTTGCAATTTCTTGCTTTCGAACTGCTAGGTTGGCAGGAGCTGGAACTAGAGACGGGAGCTCACGCCGTCATGCGGCAACCCGGGTCTCGAACTGCTGAACTACCGACCTTCCACAGCCTGCAGTTCAGCGTCTTAACCACTTGAGCCACCGCAGCTCCTCAACAATGCTTGCCTCATCCTTTTATCCTCCCAAGAGACCACCCTGCGAAGTGGGTCACAGGCTGAGAGGGCGTGGCCGGCCCCAGGTCACCCAGCAAGCCCCCATGGCAGAGTGGGGATTTGAACCTGGCTCCCCCAGATCTTAGTCGGACATTCTCATCACTAGTGGGCTCTTTTCAAGCAGAAGGCTGATGGGGATGAAGGGAGGGGTCAGGGCAAAGTGCCCATTGGAGAGATCTACCCAAATTGACTGTCTGCCTCATGAGCTTTCCCTGAGAAGCCACCACTGCCCTGTGCTCCTCCCAGTCTAGGGCCAAAATGGCCTTGAGTGGAAATGAGACCTGTTGGGCTGAGCGAAGCCAGAAGGAGGCCTAACTTGAAATAGGCACTGGGAATGTTGGTTGTGTGACCCTGAGCGATTCTGCATTGGCTTTTCCCTCCGCTGTCTTACCCCAGGTTGGAACGGAAATTCTCTCTGCATTGCACGCTGCGTTCACTTTCTTTGATCATCGGGTTTTATGATACCTTCTGCATAGATGTATGGCCGTTCAGTATGGCGTTGCCCCGGGGGTATTTGAATGTGGTTTTGAGCTGCACCTTTTCCTCGGTGTTGAGAAAATGTGGAGCGTACGCCGGATGCAGAATCGCCCATAGGTCCTATCAGAAGTGCATCCATGTGCTTGTTTACCCCCATCTCCCTGCTGTTCAATTTGAAACTACCTTGAGCTATTATGAAGGTTTCTAGGAACAGGATGGGTCTCTAATGCACTTGGCAAACCTTAGATTAAGGCATGCTCAATGGCATTACAGAAACGAATGTAATACTTTTCATCTGTGTGCGTGCGTGCACTCTGTCTCCCTTCTAGATCTGTGATCATGGTGGGCATGCCTTACCCCAACATCAAGTCTCCAGAACTCCAGGAGAAAATGGCTTACCTCGATAAGACAATGGTAAACCCGGATTCTTTGTTAACTGTGTTTTTAAGCCAAGGGCTCTCAGTTGGGTTATAAAGATCCTGCACTGTGTGGCTCCCCTCCCCTTGCCATTCCCAGGAAATAATCCCCCCCCCCCCAACAGCCATACAGATAACATACCATGGGTGCAAAGTGCTGTACTGTCTTCGCTTCATTCATCTTGTCAAGTAGGAGAAGCTGAAATTATTTCACATTCTTATGGGAGAACAAAGGTTAACAGCTTGATCCTAATGGTTTTTAGCTGTTGGATCACCCACTGTTTAGTTTAATACATGAAAATTGGCCCGTAGGATCAAACAGGCAAGCCTCGTGCACTTGGCACCCCTTAGAACGAAGTAAGACTCTTTATACTGGGAGATGTCACGTGAGCATGTCTGACACTTGCGGTGATGGGAAAGATACCTGTGCTTTATCTGCAATGATTGGCTTGCACACAACACATGAAGCGGCCTTCTACTTAGTCAGACCCTTGGTCCATCAAAGTCAGTGTTGTCTACGCAGACTGGCAGTGGCTCTCCAGGGTCTCAGGCACAGGTCTTTCACATAACCTACTGCCAAATCCTTTAACTGGAGATGCTGGGGATTGAACCTGGGACCTTCTGGAACCAGGAGCCAGTTTGGTGCAGTGGTTAGGAATGTGGACTCTAATCTGGGAGAACCAGGTTTGATTCCCCACTCCTCCACATGCAGCTGCTGGTTTGACCTTGGGTCAGTCATAAGTTCTTTCAGAGCTGTTCTCTCAAGGGCAGTTCTTGGGAGAGCTCTCTCAGCCCCACTTACCTTCCAGGGTGTCTGTTGGGAGAGGATGGGAAAGGGATTGCAAGCTGCTGAGAATCCTTTGGGTAGTGAAAGGCGGGGTATAAATCCAATCTCCTCTCCTCTTCTTCATGCAAAGCAGGGGCTCTACCACTGAACCACAGCCCCTCCCACATGCTCAATGGCCACTCATCCAGCTGTCACTCAAACATGTTTTTTTTTACGTGTGAACATGCCCTTAATGCTGCAGAGCAGGAGAGCAAGGGGAAGCTACTGTCTAGGGGAGCTGGGTTGTTCTATTTGATTTCATGCAGTTCTATAAACCAAGTACAGTCCTCGTCCCTTCAGGCAATTGGAGGGCTCCCCAGGTGCATTTCATCATTGGCCCTTCGTTATGAATTCGGTCTTAGCTTACTAGAAGCCTGTGCCTGGGTAGATGCCTTCAAGTTTTGGTTTCATTTCTTATAAGGCTCCCTGGCTCCAGCTCTTTGAGCAGAACTTATCTCCTGTAAATCATAAGGGAGGGTGTGTGTGTCTTTTTTCCTTCCTCTATAAATCAGTGCAAAAAACAAGTGACCTAACTGATTCATGCCAGAGATAAGCGCTATACCCATTTTGATGCTCGGAGGATGTGTTCCCCGCTTGCCTTGGGCCTTCCGTTTCAGGGTAAACTCTCTTGTTTAGACTCCTTGGTTAGCCCAAAGTTATGTAGGACCCTTATGCATTCACGATTCAGCCGCCTCTTTTCAGTGGTACTGCGGCGGTGTCTGCGAAGGATTCCTTTTTCAGATCGGTTCTGTCCCTGCCCCCCCCTCCAGCAACATCCTTATGTGCTCCGGGTTAGGCTAAAATGGACAATGCCCTGCCTTGATCAATGTACCGTGCAATATTAGAGGAAAAGGTTCAGTTTCTCTTTGAGGATTCCGATTCCCAACATTCTTATTTTGTTGCTCGATTTCTAGAGGCTGCAGAGAAGTGTTGAAGGAGAGGTGTTTTTAGACCTGGGTTTTAAGTTTTTTAGGTTTTGTTGTTCAAGACCTCGGTCTAAGAACAGGGGATGGAAGATTTCATGCAGTTGGGGAAGGGATGGTAAGTGTGTGTGTAGGGGTGGGGGGGAGGTGACCTGTTCCAGTGTGGAGGCTTTATCTACTTCCTGCTGGGTTTTCTCTTGTTCCCTCTATGTGGCTTCTGCTGAATTCTTATAGGCGGCATGCCTTTAGTCTCTTCCTAACAGTTACAGTATCCGACTGAGATGCTCTTTCGCCATTTTAAGGACACCAGAGGGAGGCTACCCTAAAGTCCTTAAATGCATCCCTCCTTATCCTTGCTCAGACCCAGCCACAAGTCACAGCAGGTGGGGAAAACTTGCGCAGCCAAACCAGTTCCCTGTTCTCAGCCCCCTCTGGCAGCTGCCACAAATTGCCCAGCCCTCCGTTCCTGCTGTAACTCACAGGGCAAACAGGCAGGAAGGCTGGAACGTCTAGTCTGACTTCATTCACACCTTCTGCTGTCTTGCTTTTCCCTCCCTCCAGCCAAAGACGGCAGGCCAGGCACCAGGCCGAATGCTGATTGAGAACTTGTGCATGAAAGCAGTGAACCAGTCCATAGGTAAGAACATGAGCCATATCTGCAAGGCTGACATCGGGATTTAATCTCCCCATCACAGTTGCTGCCCAGCCTGGCGGCTCCTTCAAAGCCAGCAGCTGGACAAAGGGCAAATCTCTGATGACCCAAAGGGGTAGAGGAGCAGCTCCCAAGTAGAGCCAGTTTGGAGTGGTGGTTAAGAGCGTGGACTCTAATCTGGGAGAACCGGGTTTGATTTCCTTCTCCTCCGCATGCAGCTGCTGGTGTGACCTGGGTCAGTCACATGTTCTCTTAGAGCTGTTCTTGAAAGAGCAGTCCTCAAGAGAGCTCTCTCTGCCTCACAGGAGGTCTGTTGTGGGGAGGGGAAAGGAAAGGGATTGTAAGCTGCTTTGAGACTTCTTTGAGTAGTGAAGGGTGGGGTATAAATCCAATCTCTTTTTCCACTTCTTCTTGAAGATAGTACCTATCAGGCTGGCCTTGTAAACTCGCCTCTGGTTTTGCCGGCTGGGGCCAAGAACTCTGCTCTGGGCAAATGGGCTGGGAAGACTTTGGTGACAGGGAAAGAACAGGGGCTTCTTTCCTCCCAGCCTTTTCCTGCGTCAGTCCCGGCAGACGGATGCAGCAAGTAGCGTGGCCTCTCCAGAAGGAAGCTTCAGTCTCCCCCAGGGAATCGAAATTCATGTTAAACCAGCGGTGACTGGATTGTGTCTTTCTCTTTGAGTTCAGGGTTTGGTGCCGTCAAGTCGCAGCTGACTCATGGTGGCCCTGTAGGGTTTAGCATTAGGGGTGGTACCTGCCTCTGCATAGCAAACCTGTATTTCCTCAGGGCTCCTCTCTCACCCAAATAGTAAGCAGGGCTGGCCTTGCTTAACTTCTGAGATCTGACTAGCCTGGGCCATCTGGGTCAAGGCAAAAACAAGCCATTTGGAAGCTAGGGCCCCAGTGGGGTAAGGTTGGGGTGGTGGGAGGTGCCGTCAAGTTGCAGCTGACTTACAGTGACCCCTGTAGGGTTTTGAGGCAAGAGATGAACAGAGGTGCTTTGCCATTGCCTGCCTCTGCACAGCAGCCCTGGACTTCCCTGGCGGTCTCTCATCCAAATACTAGCCAGGGCTGACCCTACTTAGCTTCTGAGATCTCATGAGATGGGGCTAGCCTGGTGCAGAAATGCTAAAGGGTCAGTCTTAGTAGCTCCGTATAAGGGGCTGCTGTTGAGAATGAACCCTGTTGGATGATTCCCTAAAGCTAAGCCTGGTCATCCCTTTCTTTGAGCTTCAGCTGCCAGTCCAGTTTCCATTAGGGGTTTGCATTCGGTTATATCTGAACAGAAAAAATACCCGAAAAATACCGACAAGGTATTTTTCGGGTATCACATAAGCCGGATACAGATCACAGTTCTGTATTTGGCTATCGGTATAGCTGAACCCAAAAAAGCCGTAATTATCTGGCTTTTTTTTTGGGGGGGGGGGGGGTCTTTTTCTTATTCATTTTGCTATATGAAAAAGGTCTCACTAAAGCGAACAGCTGGCTCAGCCGCCAGTCAGCTGTTGGGTTTAAATGCCTTTCTTTCCCTTCCCAATGTCGGGGAGGGAAAGAAAGGCATTATAAACATGCCTAGGTTCCCTGCCTGCCCACCCTTTTCCAGCTACAATCTGTCAGCAAGAGAAGGGAGGGCAGAGAGCCAGGCTTTCCCTTGTAAATTTTACTCCCAGCTGACTGGCTAGGAGTGAAATTGACAGGGAAATCTGTAGGGTCTACCAGAGGGAAAGAAGGCATTCTAACATGTCTCCTTTCCCTCGGGTGGTATAAAACAAACCCAAATATATTCGGGAATACTAAATATAACCCCAATCCGAATACCTTACTGGTATTTTACTGGGGAAAATTGGCATTTACCGATATTTTTTGGGTCTGATTTACCCGAACCCGAAAAATACCAGCAATTCCCCCCCCACACCCCTAGTTTCCATAGCAGAAAGAGCTGCATGTCCCATTATGGCTTCTGGGTCTTTCAGGATGGGGTCTGAGGAAGCAGAGGGTCTCCAAGGGGTTGTCAACCTACAGGGGCTCTGAGCGGTCTCTTTCTGGTGTATCTCCCTCTGCCAGGGAGGGCCATTCGCCATCGGAAGGACTTTGCCAGCATTGTGCTCTTAGACCACCGCTATGGCCGCCCGGCTGTTCTCAACAAGCTGCCCCAGTGGATCAGGAGCCGGGCCCAGGTCAAGGCTGCGTTTGGGCCCGCGTTTGCTGCCTTAAGAAAGGTGAGTGGCTAGGCTGGGCTCTGCCGATTCGTGATTCTGCCCTCCCTTGGCCAGAGGCACAAGAGCACCCACTGGTCTCATGGCCAACTACAGGGCCTTGCTGACAGCAGAGACGGAACACAGGGCGGGAGGAGCAGGCCTGGCAGACTCTTGCCTGCTGGCAATTTGGGGCAGACTGGAATAAATGGAAGGACTTTGTTCTTGTTGCTTGCCCATGGACCCTTGTGCTTCCGAACTTCATGGCCCTCGATCTGCCTTCCTGCCCAGACTGCCAGCTTGAGTCGCCCGGATGCCAGAACATAAGAGAAGCCATGTTGGATCAGGCCAAAGTAACTTTATGTGTTCATAAGTGATTCATTTAGGGTTGCCAGGTCCTTTTCCTTCCTGGCAACTGGCAGGGGATGGGGGGGGGGGACTTACTGGGAGCCAGAGGGAGGCCCAGCCGATGTTGCAACGACCAGTGTTCCCTCTAAGCTGAGTCAGTGTGAGCTAGCTCACAGTTTTTTAACCTCCGGCTCACACAGTTTTGTCTCAGCTCGGGAAGGATGGCTCCAGAGCAAACTAATGTATTCAGTAGCCAAACTGCTTGCTCACAACTTTAATGTCAATAGCTCACAAAGTGGAATTTTTGCTCACAAGATTCCACAGCTTAGAGGGGGCATTGGCAACCACATGTAACACTATGGTATTTGGGCAAAAGCTCTATGGTAAATTTGGCTGCTACCATAGAACAAAAAACGAAGCCAATGTTGGATCAGGCCAGTGGTCCATCCAGTTCGACAGTGGCCAAAAGCCAAGTGCCAGCAAGAGGTCCACCAGCAGGGCCAGAACTCCAGAAGCCCTCCCACTGTGGCCCCCAAGCATATAGAGCATCACTGTACCAGACAGAGTGTTCCTATCTATACCTTGTGACTCATAGCCCCTGATGGACCTCTGCTCCAAATGTTTATCTAATCCCCTCTTGAAGCTGTCTATGCTTGCCGGGGCCACCACTTCCTGTGGCAGGGAATCCCAGGTGTTAATGACTCTTTGGGTGCTGAAGTCCTTCCTTTTGTCTGTTCTGAGCTTGAAAGTGTCTCTTGCTGCCTTGAGCTCCCCCCCCCCCCCCCAAGGCCCTGCCTTGCTGACTGTTCCAGAGTTAACGACAAACACTTTTCCTCCCGCCCCTTGCACTAGGCCCCCGATTTCTTCCTCCGACCTCAGCAGTGACCTGAACTGATGCCTGTTCTTATTTCCCCGTCTTCTAGTTCCACTCTGAGAAGAGGTCAATTTGCGACTCCGTCTGTGCCTGACGGTGATGGACAAGCTCCCCGGCTGTCCCTTTGCCTGGAGCGTAGCTGAATGCAATCACTACAGCCCTGCCCTTGCTGCTTTTTAACTTTGTTTTAAAAAGTGGTTAATAAAGTTCTTGGATCGTGCCTACGGGAGATTATCATTTTTTTGCTGCGATGACTGACTACGTGAGATTCTTTACCTGTCAGTGCAGGACATTCTGTATGCAGAAGTCTAATGGTTCATCTTGGGTGAATATTTGTGTAGCAGCAGAGCTGAGGCTGGGAAGGTTCGGGGTCACCGGGGCAGGTTTGAACAAAATGGGGACCAGCACCCTCGCTGCCAAACGAATCCTGGGCTTCGCCACGCAGGTTCACACAACTCTGGTCGTTTTCGGTTTTCCGTCCGAGCGGATTTCCCTCGTCGCCCCGCAGCTCAAGAGGAGGCACTTGCCTCTGTCAGGAAAATTGGCGGGGGAAGATTCAGAAAGACCCCCGAAGGCTGCAGCTGTCTTGCCGTAGAGCCCGCTCTGATCTTTCCCTGACCTTATTTCTCCGGTCTTTGAAGCAAAGGAGGCCTCAGCTCGTTCGCTACACAGCAGTGTTCACATATAAAATGAAAGAAATGGGTCAAAAGGACACGGACTGGGGGGTTGCTCCCGTTTCTAAAACATTAAGCCTGGCTGCTGAAGTTTTAATGACTTGTGCCTCTCTACAAGAAGGCTGTAGGTTTTTAGCTGATTTGAACTTGAAGGCAAAGGCACCAGTTGCACAGAGGAACCCGCACGGGGCTAGAAGGGCAGGAGCACGGCTTCACTGGAGGGGAGGAAGCCAAGAACCCGAGAGCTTGGGACCAAAAGGCCTCACTCGTGGTCTAGAAAAACATCAGCGCTTTTTAGTTTTGGTGATTGGAAGAGAATGAAGCTGTCGAAGGTGCCCGCTACATCCACTCTCTGCCCGCTACTCCTTGCCTCTCCACGGGCAACTGCAATGGGAGGAGGGAGCTATGGCCACGAGGGGGGGGGGTTCCCCCAGGTATAAACATGTAGTTTTTAATTTGCTTTAAATCTGCTTAAAAACACCTCTTCTGAGATCTTGAGATCCATCAGGGTTTTTACACAGGCCTCCGGCTCTTACTGTTTGCCCCACTAAGGGTAGCTGGGGGGGGGGGGAGGTACCCCGGCCAGAACTAAAATGATCCAGCCCTGATGCAAGTACCACAAACCTCCATCAGCTGCCTTCTGCAAGACAAGAGCAGCAAAAGGAGCTTGGATTTTGTAAGGTCATGCCACATTATGGACTAAGCAAATGTCAAGTGTTTTACCAGGGCAGAGAGTGTGTGTGTAAAGCCAAGGGCCAAGCTGACACCACACCTCCAGGTTCACCGCTGCGCTGCCTTTTGACATTCTTCAGCCAAATGGAACCCGGCAGCGCGGCCTCACCTCCCACTTTCCATGTGTGAAAAAGAAGGAACCATCCGCAGCTGACCCCTTTGTCCCACTCCTTCCTCTACATGTGACAAAAGGACACTCTTCCCTATAGGGCTGGCATTGCCAGCATGCACCGAAAGGAAGAGGAGGGTCAGAGAGCAAGAGCACCTCCTGGGCTCTGCAGACCTGTACTGCTCAGTGGTACTTCCCAACCCGACCTCCTCCAGCTGCAGAAAAAAGCAGAAGGGGGACGGCTGAATGCTGCGGTGGTGGAGTCTGTTGCTCTCCAGCTGTCTTCAAGGCCTCACCCGGGATTCTCAGCTCCCGTCGCAAGAGAAGAGCCGGGCTTTGACCCTCTCTGATCGCAAGCGACCCGACAGCCCTCCAGCAGACGCAGGCACTCGAGAGAACACAGACGAGAAGGGCAAGCCTTGCAATGGTTAACCGTCTTTGATACTTAAGACTCTGCTACAGGAGGGCCTTAAAAAACAAACAAAAGCAAAGGCAGCAGCAGCCCTCTGACCATGAATAGCCCCAGGTGGGCTTTCCCCTCTCTTGTCAGGCTACTGGCCCCATGTTTGTGGCAGGGAAGGGAGCCCAGAACAAAAAGCCCGGCCGGGTCTAGGACTCCCAGTCGTCTTCATCCTCCTCGCCAGGTGGCTGCTGTGGGGGTGGCAGCGGTGGGATCGTGTCCGATATGCGACCAAAGGCACCCCCTGGGGCACCGGGAGCATTGTTGTCTCCACCGCCTCCAGGACCCTTGCCGGAAATACCTGCAGGAAAAAGGGAAGACCGACACACCATGAAGTTGGCGGTAGTTTGAGACTTGCAACTGGTCAGGGCCGCACTGCTGAGATCTGGGTGTCAACGACAGAGAGGAGCCCAGTCAGGAGCTGCGGCTTGCCAGGCTCAGCAAGATTAATGGGGAAAGCATTTGTTCAGCTACTCAATCAGCGTTTGGCACTCGTGGAAATCAGACGGACGGAACCAAGGCCGGGAACGTATCAGCGTTCCACATCCCTACCTTCGGTGGCAGAGGGCCAAGGCATCTGTCAGTTCTGAGAAAAAGGTGCAGTTCTCCAGCAGGACA